CATAGTTTGAGTAAATCAGAGTATACAACTTTATAAAAGGTCTCTAAGAAGGGACCTTTAGAGTGGGATGGGAAAAAAAAAAGAGATTTGGGTCTTAGATTAGTATGCTTGATGGGTGGAGACTTGGCTAGATGTTGAGTAAGTAGATCTAGTTCAATCAACTTCATGATGATCATTAAGTAGATTAAGTATGAGAAGGATATCCTGGTCAAGGTCATTATCAGGTGGTAGAAGAGGGGATGGTGGAGCGGAAATGTCGATGTCAGACAGGGCAGAATCTGCCTTGAGGGACTGGATGTGATAATACCTTTTGATGGTAAGTAGTCTAATAAATTTATTGAGGTCTTTAAATAATGTAAATAAATTTTTATAGTCTGCAAATTTTCTGCAGACTTCTGGATTTGTTTTTGTTTTTGTCCCCCTCTGCATCCTCTTTTGTGAGTTTTCTTTTTGGGTTTTTCCTAGGAGGGGGACTTAGAGATAAAAAAAAAGACAGAGGGGTGGGAATGGGGTTGAATTAAATTCCTCAAGAGAACAGGGTGGCTATGTTGGTGGAAATGTCATGGTCATGTGTGTCTGATCTATGGGAGAGGATGGATGGAATTTGTGGGGGATGATCTTTGGCATGGGTATCTGAGATGGGAGGGGAGTCAGTGCGATCATTATTGGAAAATGGATGGGGTCGGCTCTAGGGTGGTGGACTGAATTGATCGTGGGCATAGTAGCGGTTATAGGAGGAGAAGGGGTAATAGAGTGATGAGCTAGATTAGGCATGGGCACAGTAGTGGCTATGGTGGGAGGTTGTATTTTGGGGTGGGGTTCCCCATCTGAAGTGTCATTTGAGAACAATGGCAATTCAGTAGTAGTGGCTTTGGGAGCAGGGACAGAAAGTGATAGAGTATTGGCAGGGGTGTCCTGAGGTGTGAAGCTTGTCATCCCTGATGTATACTGTTGTGTCTAGGAAGTTGACATGAGTGTTCCAGTATTCCATTTTTAGTTTGATTGATGGGTGAAAAGTGTTGATCAATGAGTAAAATAGTTTTAGATTTTCTTCACCATCTGTCCATATGATGAAAATGTCATCAATATAGCAATAGTATCTGTATGGTTTTTGTTGCATGCTGTTTCAGGAATGTTTCCTTCAAGTCAGCCATAAATAAATTTGCATATTGGGGTACCATTTTACTTCCCATCGCAGTACCCATACATTGAAGACAGATGTCATTATTGAAGGCAAAGTAGTTGTGTGTAAAGTATGAACTCAATGAGCTGTGTAACATCCTCAGCAGTGTATTTATGGTTTGGTGAGGATGATAAGGATCTGTGACATGCAGCTAATCCGCCATTGTGAGGGATATTACTATACAGGGATACTACATCCATAGTGACTAGAAGTGTATTTGGTGGTAATTGCTGTATGTTGTTAATCTTGTTCAGAAAATTAGTTGTGTCTTGTAGGAGAGAGAGATTTTCTTTTAACATTCTGCAAAAAATTTTGTGGGAATACTTGAACCTTAACCACTTGCCTACAGGGCACTTATACCCCCTTCCTGCCCAGGCCAATTTTCAGCTTTCAGCACTGTCACACTTTGAATGACAATTGCGCAGTCATGCAACACTGTACCCATATGAAATTTTTATCATTTTTTTGAGACAGAGAGCTATCTTTTGGTGGTATTTAATCACCTCTGTGTTTTTAATTTTTTTTTCTAAACAAACCAAAAACAACTGAAAATTTTGGGGAAAAGTTTTTTCTTAGTTTGTTATAAAATTTTGTAAATAAGTGATTTTTCTCCTTCACTGATGTGCGCTAATGAGGCTGCAATGATGGGCACTGATAGGCGGCACTGATGAGGCACTGGTAGGTGGCACTGATGTGCATTGACAGGCATCACTGATGGGCACTGAAAGGCAGCACTCATATATGGAACTGATAGGTGTGCACTGACTGGCACTGTCAGGTGGCACTGATTGGGAGCACTGATAGGTGACACTGACTGGCATTGATAAGTGGCACTGACAGGTGGCACTGAAATTCAAAGGCAGCTCAGATGGGCACTGATATGTGGCATTGATGTGCACTGGTAGGCACTGATGTGGCACTGATGGGCACTGGCAGGTGGCATTGATGAGCACTGACAGCTGGTATTGATGGACAATTACAGGTGGCACTGATCTGGGCTACACTGATCATCAGTGCCCTGATGATCAGTGTACATGTCCCCTCTGAGGAATTCCGATTACTGGCTCTCTTCTCCTCACAAGTTGTCAGCGTGGACAACTCGCGAGGGGAGAAATGCGATAACCGGCATTTCCTTATTTACATGCGATCAGCTATGATTGGACACAGCTGATCACATAACAGAGCCGACGTCTTCGGCTCTTTCCGTTGATCAGTGATATGCTGTGTCTGAAGGACACACAGCGCACCACCATTCGCCACATGCACCCAGAGCCATGCACGCAGTTAGAGTGGGAGATCATCATATGATGTCCTCCCAGAATGAGAGAACCGCCTTGCGCCCGTCATTTCCTTATATGGCGGGCGGGAGGCGGTTAAAGAAGGGGACATACCCCGAAAGCTTGTCCTAAAAATTTTATGTCATTGCAAATAAAAAAAAATATCACGACAGTACTCAAAAGACACCCCGAAAATCAAAGTGAAAAAAATTATGCAGCAGGATAGTCCATTTTGCTGCAATTTCATTGCAACTCAGAATGGTCCTTAGTAGTTTGTATGGCCCCCACGTGCTTGTATGCATGCCTGACAACGTCGGGGCATGCTCCTAATGAGATGACAGATGGTGTCCTGGGCTATATCCTCCCAGATCTGGACCAGGGAATCAATGAGCTCCTGGACAGTCTGGGGTGCAACCTGGCGGCGTCGGATGGACCGAAACATGATATCCAGAGGTGTTCCATTGGATTTAGGTCAGGCGAGCATGGGGGCCATTCAATGGTATCAATTCCTTCATCCTGCAGGAACTGCCTGCATACTCTCACCACGAGGCCGGGCATTGTCGTGCACCAGGAGGAACCCAGGACCCACTGCACCAGCGTAGGGTCTGACAATGGGTCCAAGGATGTCATCCAGATACCTAATGGCAGTCAGTCTGTCATTATCTAGCCTGTAGAGGTCTGTGCGTCCCTCCATGGACATGCCTCCCCAGACCATCACTGGCCCACCACCAAAATCGTCACGCTGAACGATGTTACAGGTAGAAAAACGTTCTCCACGGCTTCTCCATACCCTTTCACGTCTGTCACATGTGCTCAGGGTGAACCTTCTCTCATCTGTGTAAAGGACAGGGTGCTGTAGTGGACTTGCCAATTCTGCTGTTCAATGGCAAATGCCAGTTGAGCTCTATGGTGCCGGGCAGTGAGGACAAGGCCCACTAGAGGACATCGGGCCCTCAGGCCACCCTCATGAAGTCTGTTTCTGATTGTTTGGTCAGATACATTCACACCAGTGGCCTGCTGGAAGTCATTTTGTAGGGCTCTGGCAGTGCTCATCCTTCTCCTCCTTGCACAAAGGAGATGATACCAGTCCTGCTGATGGGTTAAGGACCTTCTACGGGCCTGTCCAGCTCTCCTAGAGTAACTCCCTGTCTCCTGGAATCTCCCCCATGCTCATGATACTGTCCTGGGAGACACAGCAAACCTTCTGGCAACGGCATGTATTGATGTGCCATCCTGGAGGAGTTGGACTGCCTGTGCAACCTCTGTAGGGTCCAGGTATCGCCTCATGCTACCAGTAGTGACACTGACCCTAGCCAAATACAAAACTAGTGAAAAACAGAAAAGATGAGTAGGGAAAGTACGTAAGTAAAGTAAATCCGTGGCCAACAGCTGTGACATCACCGGGAGCATAAAGGAGGGGACCAGCAAACTGATTGTTGGGCTTTCTTGTCCAAGATGGCTGCATCTCGGCCTGAAGAAGGAGCGCCCGTGCTCCGAACACGCACCAGTTTGTTGGTCTCCTCCTTTCTGCTTCTGGTGACATCACAGCTGTCGGCCTTGGACCGCCTAGCGTCCTTGGAGCCCAGTATGGCCCTGTGGGTCTTTGGTATTGACACCCACAGCAGTATCCATTAGACCCAGAGTGGACTGAGCATTGAGGAGCCCGTATTGTGTGATATGCGGCCCATCAGGCTTCTTGTGAGCAGGAGCAGACTGACAACTCATGGGGCCCCCGGGCAATAGGGGATAATGGAGCCCCCGTGTCCTTGCCCAAACTCAAAAAAGCCTATGAAAAAGGTACCAGGGGCATCTCATGGGGCCCCCTACTGACCCCGGGCTCTCGGACAGTGCCCGAGTTTCCAAATGGTCAGTTCGCCCCGCTTGTGAGTTGCTCTTACTATAATGTACATATTACACTCAGATCAGCACTGCTGTTTCCATTTTGATGCACTTATAGACATGCTCATCACTGCCCCAGGACCCTCTAGACTTGAACGGGGTCGCATTCTGAGACCGCAGACACCAGGAGTACGACTCCCATTACAAATGACTGCGCATGCGCGGCCTTTGGTGCTATTTCCTCCATGGAGGGAGGCCGCGGCTGGTATGCTGAGCTCAGTGAAACAGCTCACGGCGCCGTGATAGCACCATCTAGCGGCGAACGCATACACTCACCGTTACCTTCCGGCGCCGCAAGTACACAGCAATCACATGACACACGCTTCCCATCTACTTTCTCACAGATGGGTTCTCAGTTTGCCCTCAACAATAATGGCGACCGCACTATCCGTGGGCGGATGTGTACAGTGGACACGTGCTTGTTTCTTGACTACAGGCGGAAGTGCGTCCCTCTCCAGGCAGAGTGCTGTGTTACAGAGGTAGGTGTGTGTTGGCTGTTCAGAGGCAATGTGTTTTTTCAATTCCAGACAGAATATTTTTTTTTTTTTTGAGAGCATAGTGCCTGCTACAGAGCACAATAAAGGGTACACAGCATTGTCTGGCCTGTCTTATCATTTCCAGAATAGAACTTGGGCGCATTGATGGCAGCAGAGGTGAGAGTTCTACAGTTCTCGGAATGGGACACAGGGAAGAGGAGGCTCCGGTATCTCTACATGTGCCCGCCAGGTTCCTTCACGCTTCGCAGTGGACAGACCAATCAGGTTGGTATAGATAATTCCACTACCTCGTTATCGGACATTTTACATAAGGTCACCATGGGGCACAGAGTAAGGTTGATTGACTAAAGGCAAATAGGCTGCTCTCTTTGCAATGGGAATTTTCACTTGGTTTAGTGAATGTGGTGAAAGTTTGTTTTGCAAAGAATGTCCAATCACATGCAAGGAAAAAAAAACCCACATTAGTTTTACTTGTACATGATTGGATGATGGAGATCAGCAGACTTTCACCTCATTCATTAAGCTAAGAGAAAATTTCCTTGCAAAGTGACCAGTGTAATTGCTGTTAGTAAATCTACCCAATATAACAACTGGTAGCCTCTAATTTACTAATTCCCACCCAGCCTATAGACAAATGATGGGCAAGTGCTCTCCCATCATATGGCGTCCTCCCAGGAATGTGCCTCTTGCACGCTCTAGCTGCTGTTCTGCCACCTACATTGTCTAGCGATGACAGGCCAGTGAACTGGGCCAGACCAAGTAGCATGTGACCAATCAGCGGCCACAACTCAAATGTAGACAATGAATGACCTGTGATTGGTCACAGTGATCACATGGTGCAGACGGACAATCACAATCTATCTGTATCATGTGATAGCTGTGGCCAATCACAGCTTTCACAACAGTACATACTGGCTATGAATGAATACCATTCATAAACATGATTGCTTATAACAGTGATAATCACTGCTATAAGCAATCATAGTGTAAAAAAAAAATCCTGATCACCTCCAGTAGTGCAGTGTCACTATGGTAACAGTGCACTACTCTGGTCACAGTTTTTTAAAAAAAAAAATGTACAAACAATATTTAAAAAAAAAATGTATTTCCTTTTTTTTTTTTTTAAACATATTGTCATCAATCAGTATCCCTGCTCACTGCCATACCAGTCATATGATGACGCTGTACTGCATCGGTGACAGTACGTATGTATGAAAAAATTGTAATTTTTTTTTATTCTCTAAAAAAAATACAACTTAAAAAAAAACTCCATGCCTCTTGCTAAATACCTTGGACAGTCCACTTTCCAAAAAAGGGTAATTTGCATTTGGGGGGTATTTGTACTGTCCTGGCATTTTAGGGCCTCAAAAAATGAGATGTCAGTACATCAGGATTGATCAGTTTATAAATCTATATACCAGTGGTCTCCAAACTGTGGCCCTTTGCTTGCCTTTATCTAGCCCATGGGGCACTTTTCCTCTCACTGACACCAGCGATGGGGCATATTTTTGCCAAATGGCACCAATTATGGGACACACTTTCTCCCACTGACACCAACAGAGATGGGTCTCTATTCGCACTGATACTAATGATGGGGTACTATTCCTTCCACTGACACCAATGATTTGGTACTATTCCTTCCACTGATTAAAATGATGGGTACTATTCCTTCCACTGATTAAAATGATGGGGTACCATTCCTTCCACTGACACCAATGATGGGGTACTATTCCCCCCACTGACACCAGCGATGGGGCACTATACCCCACTGACACCAGCGATGGGGCATTATACCTCCCACTGACACCAGCGATGGGGCATATACCTCCCACTGACACCAGCGATGGGGCACTATACCTGGGGCCCACTGACACCAGCGATGGGGCACTATACCCACTCCCTATACCTCCCACTGACACCAGCGATGGGGCACTATACCTCCCACTGACACCAGCGATGGGGCACTATACCTCCCACTGACACCAGCGATGGGGCACTATACCTCCCACTGACACCAGCGATGGGGCACTATACCTCCCACTGACACCAGCGATGGGGCCTATACCTCCCACTGACACCAGCGATGGGGCACTATACCTCCCACTGACACCAGCGATGGGGCACTCTTCCTCCCAATGACACCAGCGATGGGGCACCTCCCAATGACACCAACAATGGTGGCACTATTCTTCCCCCTAACACCAAATATGCATTGCTTACTGCCACTGACACCAGGACAATTTCTACTCCCAATAAGGTTGAAGGACAGTAAACTGGCCCTTTGTTTCTAAAGTTTTAGAGACCCCTGATATATACCATTATTGTAGAAACTAAGTTTCTCACAGACTTAATTATACACTGATTTTGGGTTACTGTTACCAAAGAAAATGTAGCAGAATAAATTTTGGCCCAAAATTTATGAAGCAAAATTATGAATTTGCAAATTTAAAACCGACGTTAAGAAAATTTGTTGATTTTTATCAAACTTTTTGTTATTTTTTTGTTTTGTATACCAAAAAAACCCCAATGGTGATTAAATACCACCAAAAGAAAGCTCTGTCTAAAAATGATTAAAAAAATTTCATTTGGGTACAGTATTGCATGACTGAGTAATTGGCATTCAAAGTGTGACAGTGCTGAAAGTTGAATTGGCCAGGGCAAGAAGGGTGGAAAGTGTGTGGCATTAAATGGTTACAAAAGACACTGCTAGGGGTTAAATAAAATGACATTCAGTAGTATGTTATGAAGAAAGCAGTTTTTATTATTCTTACCTGTCTGTGGAATATTTGAGAGTTTGCTCTGCACCAGAGCTCCTGGCATTGGCCCTCTTCCACTGCTGTAGTATATCAAATGGCGGATCCATTGCTGGCTAATTTGGTTCTATAAATAACAGGCTTTTGTCATCAAAGAAGCAATCCAAGAGTTTGGAAATGTGAAAAGAAGCCTAAAGCTCCACCTGGTGGGTCAAAAAGGAAATACAACAACTTAATATGCAAGGTTTCATATTTACCTGATCTATACATTTAAAAAATAGTCTTGTATGTGACAGAGGTCCGGTGGATCTTATTCATATGCTATGAAGATGCCCAAAACTTCATAGATATTGGCAAGATATTGTCTCTCTCATATCCTCCATTTACCAAGTTGCCTCATCTGCAGAACCGAAAATATGTCTTTTTAATATGCTTGATGAGTCTATTGTACCCACTGAGCTGATGCCTTCTGTCTGGAAATTGATAGCACAAAAATGGATATCGCCCAGCCCTCCATCCGTAACAGAGTGGAAAGCTCAGGTTAACAATGTAATCTCCAGAGAAAAACTAACATTTCGACACACAGAAACTGGATTAGAAAATTTGAAATTATATGGGGTCCCTGGCTGGCAACACCCGGTTTGGCTCCGCTCCATATGATAGCAAATAGATTGCTCTTTCTATAAATATGGGGGGGCCCTTAGTTGTATGGTATACCAGCTGAAATGTGCAAGTTTGTGGAAAGACACGTGCAGCTAGATACTATAGGAAGGAGTAACAGACTTGAGTCAACTTGTGCTGGCTTAATAGTTTTATTAGTGTAGGTCGGATATATGTTCATATGGTGTGTAAAAAATTACCCCCCCCCTTTTTTTTTTTTTTTCCTTCTCTTTTGTATGTGTGCTATTTACGGATTACTGTTTTACCAGTGTATGGCCAGTGTTCTTGATTTGTTTGTAGTGTGTTGCGCACAAGTTGTGTGTCTGTTATGTATGTTCTATATGTTCAAAAACCAAATAAAAAAGATCTGATTTAAAAACAATAGTGTGCAATTTAATATATAAAATGTCTGTCTAAAACCAGAAAACATGCACTCTAAAAGAGCTTGTATCTTTAGTGTTATCTTTTAAAAGTTATTTTTATTTTAAACTTAAACAAATTAGTCATTTAATAATTACACTACCATTTTTAAATTCCAAGATCAAAGCTTTGGTTGTAGAATTATTGTGATTTATATTTGTTGTTCTTGTGATTTGTAACTTTTTTGAAATGACAGATATTTGGTTCAGCTAAAGTGGAGCTAGTTCATTTATGCTTGTTGTTTTATGCTGTGTTGCAGAACACCATGATTCCTGTTTTCCTAGGAGCCGATGTTGTTTCACAAACAGGAGTTAGAACAGAAAACCATCCCAAAATTCATGCTAAATTTGCAAAGAAAGGATTAGCTGCAAGGCTAATTTTTAGCCCAGGTAATAAATGTTGTATCTTTATCATTCATAGAGTAGAGCATTTAGTAGAGTAGGGGGAAGTTTTACACCTTCATTGCAACCCGCTGTGGATTTTAGCTAAACATAGCCTGACTCGATCCATCCTTTTAATACCAAGCAGTGCATTGATAGTTTTCAGAATCTACAGTATGCATCACTAGGTTTACTCTGTGTGTAATATATATTTATGTGTGTATATGTGTGTGTATATATATATATATATATATATATATATATATATATATATGATGTAACAGTACACAGAATATGTGACTGTTTTCCCAGATTCCATGATTTGACTGTAGCACACTACCTATCCTGGACACTCGTATCCTGCTGCTCTGTGCTCACTATTCGTAAACAGTCCTAAAGTGAAGGCAAATGACAGAAAAGTCACACTAGAAAAAAAAAAAAAGCAGAAAAACAGGAATGTCATTTATGACCACCATACATTGCTTTGATTATTACTTTATAGTGCAGGATGAGCTCTCCTAAATGGCAGCCAATAGCCAGTCTCAGCACAAGCCATTTATTTCTGGAATTAATGATCTCCTGTTCACTGTATTCTCACCCAATACTCACAAAAATGCAGACAGGGGAGAACAATCTAGAACTCAAAGGAGAAAGAGGTAAGCAAACAAACAAAAGAGAAGCGAAAGGAACATTTAAAGGATAAGTTCACCTTTCATAACATGTTACACCCCTATTCAGGGTGACCTGGATGACAAGGAGATCTGCATGGCACCAGCGATCTGCTGATCGCTGGTGCCATGGTTTACAGGCTCCTGCAACAAAAAATGATAAATTCCTCCACTTTTTTTTTACCTCCAAAAAATAGTGCAATTATTATTTTTTAGCAAAAGGTGAACTTTTCCTTTTAAGATGTTTTCACTGTGTGCTCCTGTTTATGTATATTTTTTTTCACAGCACAGTCTGGGTCATGTGCCTCTCCATAATAGTGGCTGCCAGCCAAAATATCATTACAGGACTGTGTTGCTTACAATATGTCTGAGCTAGCCCTTATTTCTCCTCCTGCTCCCTCCCTGAGATTGCTATGTTCATGCAATGCATACATTTGTGGAGGATGAAGGGGTTCATTACTCCCATCTTTTTGTCAGAAACATGACATACAGCAGCAGAATTACTAATCTTGTAAATTACTGAATAAAATAATGCTTGTTTTGTGTCTTCTCCAGATTTTAGGTTTGAGAGGGTGAGACTCCCTAGTGGACTGAACACATTGTGGTTTTTATAGCATTCAGGGACTATTTAAAGTTGCATTTGATTTGTACAGCAGAGAAGAGCAGTTGGCTGTCATTGAAAGCCTTCAGGTATCTCTGACTTTTATATCTATCCATTTATTGGCTTAGCCCTCTAAGATTGTTTTACCATAACTATTCATTATTTTACATCAAAATAATCTTCCACGAAAACTCTACAGTTCAAAACCAGAAATACCACTTAGAATTGTAAAATATTGTAACTATGTTTTTCACATAAAATTAGGTTTTGACTGATAACCTAGTAATCCAGTCTTATGTGCCATTAGTTTATCAGCATCTCAAATGGCCCTTTTCCTGCTCTCCTTAAAATGGAATTGCGCTTTTTTTTTTCTTCATTTTAACCACTTCCCGTCCAGCCGCTGTATATAAAGGGCCAGGCGGTGGTAGTGCAGGGGCGGGTTGCCACTCATAAACGGCTCCCTCCATTTTGGATTGTGTGCACTCCCTGGGAGCGCGCGGCACCACGAACACCAATTGCTGTATGGGACCTCTGTGTGAGGTCCTGATCATGTGATCACTGATTGGCCAATCAGTGATCACATGAATAGGTGTAAGCAAGATGTCACTTCTGACATCATTGCTTACTACTAGTGAAATATGTGAATGATCACATGCTCTCACAGTATTTCTCAATGGCTGCAAGAATGTGCAGCCAGAGAGAAGGAGAAATGATTGCTTTTAAAGCCTTTATGGGTGTAAAAGCAATCCGTGTAACAAAAAAAAAAAAATCTTCATCACCATGGTGACACTGTACTGCTAGGGTGACAGTATGTAGAAAAAAAACATAAATAATATAAAAAAAAAAAAAAAAAAAAAAAAAAAAAAAGTTTTATTTTTATATAAACTAATTTGGGTTTTTGTTTTTACTAAAAGATACCTGCATACATTTTGGCCAAGATTTATGATGAAATATTATTTGCAAAATTTTCTAAGAAAAACACTTTTTTTCAAAATGTTTGGACTTTTTAATTTATATAGCAAAAAAAATAAAAATCCCAGTGGTGAATAAATACCACCAAAATAAAGTTTTATCTGTCTCAAAAAAATGCTAAAAAATTCATATGGGTAGAGTGTTGCTTGACCGCGCAATTGTCATTCAAAGTGTGACAGCACTGAAAGCTGAAAATTGGCCTGGACAGGAAGGGGGTAAAAGTGTCCGGACAGGAAGTGATTAAAAACTGCTGACAGGCAGGGATTTTATGACAGAAGAGACCTAAGTGCTTCTCCTTGCCTATCAGCTGTAATTTACACTAAGCCACATATGCACAGTTCATAGAACATTTACAGCACCGCTCTGCACCCTGATGAAGTGACTGGGAAGGGGTGACATCATTCTGACCCGACCATTCAAGTGGCCAAATAGATTGAACCTGGAAGGAAGAGCTGGGGTTAGCTGGAGCTCTGATAGGCTTTGTTTGGCAAGTAAGTTTGCCATACAGTGCTAATATGTTATACATACTATTATTATTATACAGGATTTATATAGCGCCAACAGTTTGCACAGCGCTTTACAATATAAGGGAGACAGTACAATTACAATACATTTCAGTACAGAAGGAATAGGAGGGCCCTGCTCGTGGAGCTTACAATCTAAAGGAAGGAGGAGGTGATACAAAAGGTGATAGCTGCAGGGGATGATCTGGCGGAGGTGATTCAATTACAGGTCTTAGGTGGAGGTGGGGTAGGCTTCCCTGAAGAAGTGAGTTTTCAAAGATCGCCTAAAGGCAGACAGGGTGGGGGCTGGCCGGACATGCTGTGGTAGGGAGTTCCAGAGGATGGGAGAGGCTCTGGAGAAGTCCTGGAGGCGAGCATGTGAGGAGGTGATGAGGGAACTAGAGAGGAGGATATCATGAGAGGAGCGGAGTGGGCGATTTGGGCGGTATTTGTGGATGAGGTTGGTGATGTAGCTAGGGGCAGTGTTGTGGATGGCTTTGTAAGCTGTGGTTAGTATTTTGAATTTTATAAGTTGGGTTAGTGGATGCCAATGGAGGGATTGGCAGAGAGGGGCAGCAGTTGCTGATCGGTTGGTAAGGTGTATGAGTCTAGCACATTATGGCCTAAATCTCCCCATGGCTAGTTTAAGAACAAATTTGCTTTAACAGATGTCTTACTGAAACTCCATTATTACCAATCTGAAGCTTTTAAGTTCACCTCTACAGTCATATACCTCCAGAAATTGATAAAATAGTGCTTGTGTGGTAAATTAATTTAATCCATATGGTAATACTTTTAGTACTTTGATATATCTATTTTCAGTTCTAAACATGGTAATTATAAATCTCATGTGTTGTTGTGCTTTTGTGAGCTGAGTCTTATGTCTTTTGAATACCGTTAGTTTGCTTATGCAAACCAGTACTGATGCAGTAACCTGTAACAGGCAATCAGATTATACCTCTCCTTGATTTTAAGAAACAGAACAATAAATAATAATAATATTTTTGTTAAATATTTCTAATGAATATATTTTTTTGGCCTACATACAGTTCTGTTTATCTCACTCTCATTTTGTTTTAATGCAGTTTAATTAAAAAATGTATCATGACAAATACATGATGTTTTCCATACACTGGAACACACATGCCTTTGTCTTTAGTAATCCTAGTGCCATGGTTTACTGCTTAGATTAACATTTAGAGTGATTCTGGATTGTAAGAAATATAAAAGGTTCGTTATTACCATTATCTAAAATAGTGTTTCTCAACTTTTTTTTTTTTTTTTTTTTCTATCAAGGCACCCTTTAAAATTATGGATAATCTCAAGGCACCCTTTAAAATTCTGCACAATCTCAAGGCACCCCAATGTAAAAATACTATTCTATACCCATCCGGTACATCCAACTTCAGAGGTGATTTATTCTTCCAAAGCAAATACACCTTTGCATACTGGTACTGACTAGTATTCCAGTGTGTCTCTCCCCAAGTCTGCTAATGTAACTCCAGCACTGACAGAGAGGGGCAAACAAGGATGATGTCCATGCACCCCATGTCCTCCTTATCAACTGATGATGTCGTTGGTTGTTAGGATGCAGGCAGCTAGAAGGTCATAAAAGTGCACCATGAAAACCTATAACTTTGTGTACTAAAAGGCAGGATTGATCCACCTGCTGGCTTGTATACAATTTTGGGGCATTTTGCCAAGGCACCCCTGAAGAAGCCTGAAGGCACATCAGGGTGCCTGGGCACCCTGGTTGAGAGGCTGATCTAAAATGTGTATGATATTGTATTGAGACTTGGAACTAAAGGCACAGTTACTTACTTTTAGTCCCTCGCTAGTGCTGGCATCTTCTCCCTTCTGAGTGCTGGTCTTCTGCCGTTGAGATTGGCTGTCGTGGGATGACGTCACATGTGCAGGAGTGCAGACATCCTGGCATACTGCCAGTGTCCTGGAATGTAAACTGAGCTGCACATTTCACAGAGGATTGCAAACAGGCAGGTAAGTGTACTTTATTGCAGAAGAGACATAGCATGTCTCTTGTGCAAAAAAAAGTCTGCCTGTTCACAATTTTTTTTTTTTTTTTTTTTTTTTTTATGTTTAGCCTTTAGTTACGCTTAAAGTTGTTTTTTGGTTACATGTAATTCTCATGTATTGATGTATTGTGTATATGTGTGTGTATGTATGTGTAATATATATATATATATATATCCTAAATACAGAATGCAGACTTAAGGTGATTCTTTCTTTTTTGTTTTGTTTTTTTTGTCTTTTTTTTTTTTTTTTTTTTCTTTTTTACCTTATTACATTAAGGTAAAAATTCTTCCAATACAAGTTTCTCCTACCCCAAATAAAACACTTACCCAAGTCCTCTCTCAATGCAACGTCTTTCTCTTCCCTTCCCTTTCACACAGGACACAGGCAGAAGCAGGAACCATAGGTTCCAGCTTCTGTAAGCCAAATCCTGTGAGGAAAGAGCGAGGGGCATGGTGTATGTGTCTTTTACATATAAAGCCCACTCTGTAAATTCACTACTAACCCATTCTCAGATCTGAAAAAAATTATTATGTATGAGTGCTGTGTACCTTTAACACTGGACCCTTGCTGTTATAAGGTTCTGTAACCCTGAAACCAAATATATCCACGCTCACAGAACTGGCCTATGCAATCCATCTCGAATATTAGCAATACATCATCACTCAAACATCCTTGAAGTGCCTACGATAAATAAAAGTGCTCAGTGTCCAAATAATACTGACTCTTGCAACAAAAGTGGTCATTGTTCAAATTATGCAGTTTTTTTGCAACAAAGTGCTAATGCTTAAATTGAATCTTGTGCAGCCTTCCAAATGGTTGTGCTGGTGTTCAAATGACTCCACAGCTTCACGTGCATCAGTCTCCTGTGCTGTGCCTCCCTCTAGTGTTCCCACACTCTCCGGATCCTGTGGACTCTCTGCTTAAGCATTAAGAGTCACCAGCGCTTGTTTTGCGGCTCCACTGATGTAGTGACTGGACTTAGTACCAGATGAGACTGTATGCTAAGGACAAACAAAGGGGCCTTCTAAAGCATAACTCCACTTTATTTTAAACCTAAATTGGTTAACAATCACTTTAAAAAGGTTGTATGTAACAGATAAAAAGTCCTAACCTGGAAGTGCCTCCAATACCATTGTTCAGAGATAGTAAATATAACAAGTTTTTTAATCTTAGTTTAAAAATATAGCATTTAGAATCACTTTAAATCCTTTTTTTTTTGTTTAGTACTTTAAAATAACATTTTTGAACAATTAGTTATGTAAACATTGTTTACTCCTTTTTAGATGTTTCTTACCTAATAGCCTCCACCCAGTCATGGTTTTTATGTTTCTGACCAAATTGCCTCTACCCAGTCCCTTCTACCATATGCCTATTTTTATGCAGTTTTTTTTTTTATTGTTCTAGGAGCTGTGGAAGTCTCATATCAAAGATGACCCTCTAAGTGAATGTTATGATCTCAGTAACTATCTTGGAGACCCAAAAATTGCCGTACCATCTTTTACCCAAGCAGAGAAGGCTGACCATGAAAAGTTATCAGGTAGTTCTTCTAGAGAATTATTTGATGTTCATAGGGTTCCTCGGAGTCTTCCAGCAGAACACAACTACTGCATGACTAAAGAAGAAGGATCTAGCATATGCCATTCACGGGAAACACTGAGTAATGACTTCTTCATGCAGAGAATTCAGTCTATATTGGTCACCTGTGCCAACACGGTAGTTGACGTAAATGAACAATTAAAGAAGACTGCTTCAGCATTAATAGATGTTGTTGAGCAAATGCTAAGTGGACATAGGTACTTGGATAAGATGATTGCAAGCATAGTGCAACTTTTAGAAACTGCCAGTCACTTGCAGAACAAGGAGGACTCGCAGTGTGAGGTCTCCACCGTGTATGATAACCTTCTGCTGTTTGAGGTCAGCAGTTGGCTGGGAGACCGTTTCCACAATGAGAATTTAACCATCAGTGAACAAGTGGAAGAGTTTAAAAGGAAACATATTGATCGCATCTCAGACTTGCCTCCTGCCCAAGAACTGGTTTCTGCCTTATTTCCTAATTCCATGAAAGTTTTATTACTCAAATGGATGGGACTGTTTGACGATACTTCACTATCCAAACTGCAAAGTGAATACCCAATTGTACTCCTTATTTTAGAATTTGCAAATCGCAATCTTATCACAGGAGTTGCTCATGTTCTTTATTCTACTTTGATATGTAAATAATACCTAATATTTTAAGTATGCAGTTTTGTATATTTTTTTTTTCTGTGTTACTTTTATTTTTATTTGCTCATTAATTCCAACCTATGACCGGATCCAGCGATGCCCCCTTAATATTTATTTAGTAGATGTTGACATGTAGTTCTTATATCATAGATCAGTACACCTGGAGAGAAGTCAAGGGGCAGCATTTTTACTGAACGAAAAATTGTTCTTTAAAGCATGTCTAATTAAAAGTCAGTAACAAATTATAGCAGACAGGTTCAAAATTATAAAGGGATAACTAAAAAAAAAATCAGACTTCATTTGGGTTGGACCAAGGACTGTGCACTGTTCCATGAATTCTGTAAACAATATTAGGTGAACAGGTACTATAACAATGAAGTGAAATAAATTAGGAAGAAAAAGCTCATGAATATAAAACATCCTTTAGACGTTGTCAGGGTTTTTTTTTACTTTTAATTCTGTACTGTAACTGCTATAAAAACTATAATAAATAGCATAGAAGTAAATTACATAATGTATTGATGCACAAACAGTTTAGATTGTATGTAAATTTTACAGCATTTTATCAAACACTTATTCCAGAAACGCTCAAAGGTATTTATTATGAAAGTGTGTATGTCGTTTTTCCAACCAACTTTTATTTTCGTTTGAAGAAACAACTATGTTCACTTTACCTTAAATCGTTGATAATATAAAGTAAAGGTAGGATGGAAATCAACTGCGTAAATATTGCATTCATGACGACACACAAATCTATCTCTCAACCCCCCACCTCACCCCCTCGGTCTCTGCCCAAATCACACACCTACTGAGCGACATATCAGAATGGATGTCGCTCCACTTCCTTAAACTGAATCTCTCCAAAACCGAGCTCCTTGTCTTCCCCCCAGCCCGAACCCCACCCCCCATTGACTTCTACATCACATCCAACAACGCCAATATCAAACCCGCTCTGCAGGCCAGAGTACTTGGTGTCATTCTGGACTCCAACCTATCCTTCCAGCCCCAAGTCCAATCTTTAACAAACTCGTGCAGACTCCACCTCCGCAACATCGCCAAAATCCGCACATTCCTAACCCCAGAAACCACTAAACAGCTCATCCACTCCCTCATCATATCACGACTCGACTACTGCAACTCCCTCCTCACTGGCCTGCCTCGCCGCTGGCTATCCCCGCTTCAGTCGATCCTGAATACGGCTGCCAGACTCATTCACCTTTCCAAATGCTCCGTTTCCGCCACCCCCTCTGCCAATCCCTCCACTGGCTTCCGATTGCGCAACGGATCAAATTTAAAATCCTAACACTGACGTACAAAGCTGTCCACCATACTGCCCCGAACTACATCACTGACCTAATATCCAAGTACCACCCAGCACGCACACTCCGCTCCTCACAAGACCTCCTTCTCTCTAGCTCCCTGGTCTCCTCCTCCAATGCCCGCCTCCAGGACTTCTCCAGGGTGTCACCCATCCTCTGGAACTCCCTGCCCCAACCCATCAGATTATCACCTACTCTCCTCTCCTTTAGGCGCACCCTGAAAACCCATCTCTTCAGGGAAGCCTACCTCACCCCCTGCTAACTTGCTGACCTCCTCCACTCTTCCTACCACTCCATCCCCCCACAGCTATCTCCTCCTGTACCACTATCCCATCCCTTCTAGATTGTAAGCTCGAAAGAGCAGGGCCCTCGATCCCCTCATGTTTTGCATTGTATTGGTATTGTTCTGTCACATGTTCTGTCCCCCTTTGTAATGTACAGTGCTGAGTGAACTATTGGCGCTTTATAAATACTGTATAATAATAATAATAATTTATCTTAATGGAAAAAGATAGATGTATGCTGTTTACAAACATCAAGCATTTTACATGTTACATATTTGCTTATTTCACTTTTCTACCTTACATTAATGTGTTAATAGCGTTCCTCTTTAATGGCCTTCACTTGACTTTATCTCTTTGTTTTTCCAGAATTTTATAAAGACATGAGAGGAAGGACTTGAAAAGTAATATAAAATGGGATTAAGCATGCTATAAAAGTAAGTTAGGCAGATATTAAAATAAAATGCAAGGCTTAAATTCCTATAGTTTGCACATTCCTCATATTTCATGGCTTTCAAGACCAATATTGCAATTCTGACTGTAGCACTAGGTAGATAACAGACAACGAATACAGCAGCAATTAACAGAATGAAGTTCATTGCTCTTCCCACCTTTCCATTTGTATCAATAGCATTGTCCTTCAAATGTAAAACAATGCACACTGTGCAGTATGATATAGTCAGCAAGGAAAGGCATGTAAGGGAGATATAGAAGGCATCCTGCCAGGCAGTTGGGGATTGTGGGTAAATGTTAAAACTTTCACATTGTGTGCGGTTGTTCATGTTGAAAAAATGGGGACCTGTTAGGATATAAGAGTGCATTGCAAAGATAAATATCCACAGTGTAATACATATAACAGTAGCTTGGCTTACAGTAATGTTATTCACTTTGTGAAAAGGAAACAAGATTTTGCAGTAACGATTTAGAGCAATAAGAGATAAAAACATCATGCCGGCAGCTCTAGCAGCAGCAAGGATGTAGAGCAATAGTCTGCAGGGAATGTCACCGTACACCCAGTCTTGATAGCGAAGGTAATAATCTGCACGGAAAAGCACACAGAAAACAACCACACTATCTGCCACGGTTAGGCTGAGTAGATATACAGAATTTGGCTTCCAGGAACTGACATCACAGCAGATCATCCACAGCCCAAGAATGTTACCACCAGTCCAAAAATGAACTCCAGCAGGAGAACAGGAGGAAGAACAATGTCTAAGATGGGTTCATCATAAGCACAACAGCTGACGTTCATTGTGTATGCTGTTCTGCTTCTTCAGACTTGGTCTTCTCTTGTTATTAAAAGCAGAAACCAAGTACCTCTTTTATATAGTAGTTGATTCCTGACGTTGGGAAGACTTTTCTCCAAAAAAGCCAAAAAGCATGCATCGTCTTCAGAGTTGTTTGATGCATAAAACATAGACTGTAAATGCAAATCTCGACAATAGTATTCCTTTTGCTTGTTGCGTGCAGTGCTTGGAGAATGGTTTATATTGATGTAAAATACATCAGGGCTCATTTTGCATTTTTTACACACACAATTTTCATACTTAATATGACAACAAAGGGTGGTGCATGAGCTTAGTAAAATCTAATCTGCAGCATTAACCTAGAACATTAGCATTTTCATAAATCTAGTTTACAATCCAACTACAGTTTTGACCAAAAAAGCTCTCACTTTCCATCTCTCCGAACCATAGAACATTTTCTATTTGTTAGATAATCAAGTAGGCAAATTAAAGTGAATGTATGTGTAGCTCTTGTAAAAAAACATCAGGCTGTGCTTGCTGTCTTTTAATATGGAAATATTCTGAGTCTGTTTTAACTGAAAGAAAATATTGCTAACGGAAACCGCCCGTAAAAAAAAAAAAAATCTGACAGATTTAATCATTCTCTATCCCTGCCCAAAAAAAAAAAAAAAGTTTGGCTAGACATACACTTTTTAGTACTGTCTTCTTTGATACTTTAAAGCAGGGGTCTCCAAACTTTCTAAACAAAGGGCCAGTTTACTGTCCTTTAAACTTTAGGGGGGGCCGGACTGTGACCAGTGGGAGGAAAATGTCCTGGCATCATTGGGAGTAAACCATGCCCCATTATTGATATTAGGGGAAGGAATAAATGCCCTATTATTAGTTTTAGGGGTAGTAATAGTGCCTCATTGTTATTAATGGGAGGAAAAGTACCCCATCATTGGTATCAATGGGAGAAATAGTACCCCATCGTTAGTATCAATGGGAGAAATAGTGCCGCATCATTGGTATCAACGGGAAAAATAGTGCCCCATCGTTATTATCAACGGGAGGAATAGTGCCCCATGATTAGTATCAATGAAAGGAACAGTGCCCCATCGTTGGTGTCAATGGGGAAATAGTGCCCTATCTCTGGTTTTAAGAGAAATAGTGCCCCATGATTGGTATCAATGGGAGAAGTAGTGCCCCATCGTTCATATCAACGGGAGGAATAGTGCCCCATCCTTAGTATCAATGATAGGAATATAGCCCCATCATTGGTATCAATGGGAAAATAGTACGACCTCTTTGTTTCCCGCTCCCTCAACCTCCTAGCGATTACGGAAACCTGGATCCAGGCCACTGACTCTACCTCCCGTGCTGCACTCTCCTACGGAGGTCTCACCTGGACCCAGGCCCAACGGTCGTAAAGGTGGTGGGGTTGGTCTGCTCCTGTCACCGCAAAGCACCTTCCGAGTCCTCCCAAACCCCCCCCTCTATCCTTCTCCTCCTTCGAGGCCCACTGCGCCTGACTATTCTCCCCAACCCCCCTGAAGATTGCTGTGATATACCGGCCTCCTGGATCCATATCCCACTTCCTGGATGACTTTTCCTCCTGGCTACCCTTCTTCCTCTCTTCTGAGCTACCCACCATCGTCCTTGGGGATTTCAACATCCCTGTCAACCTCGACAACCCGGCCACATCCCATCTCCTCCACTTAACCTCCTCCTTTGCACTTGCACAGTGCATACAATCCACCACCCACTCCGACGGTAATATCCTTGATCTTGTCTTCTCCAACCGCTGTGCTCCCCACAACCTCACTAACACCCCCTTCCCTCTCTCTGACCACAACCTGATTACCTTCTCTATCTTTTCATCCTCCAACGCCTACCCCTCCAAATGTCACACTACTACCAGCCGTAACCTCCGCAACCTTAACCCTGCCCCCCTCCACTCTGCAGCTGATCAACTCCATGACAGCATCCTCCTGTCCTGCCCCGACTTGGCTATGACTGCCTACAACAACGCGCTGTCAACAGCCCTTGACTCACTAGCGCCTTTAACCACACGCAACATCAGACCCTGACCGCTCCAGCCCTGGAAGACTGATCACACCAAAACCCTCAAACGACACAGTCGTGCCCTGGAGCGACTATGGCGCAAAACCAAATCCGAACAAGCCTTCACCCGCTACAAATCTGCCTTCCACACCTACACCTCCTCCCTCCACGCAGCCAAACAAGCCTACTTCCTGACCCTCATCAAGGCCCTCTCCTCCAATCCTCGCCGACTCTTCTCCACCTTCAACTCTACTCTCGCCACCACCCACCTCCACCCAGCACCTAACTCACCGCCCTTGAGATTGCCAATCACTTCAAAAACAAGATTGACACAATTCGCAAGGACATTGCCGCAACTCACACGCCCTCTCAACCCGTCCCCTCTCACACAGCTACCCCCTCATCCCCCCTCTCCCTCGACATAACCCGCAGGGACTTCGTCACTGCTCAAACTCCCTCCAACCCCGTTCCCCCTCACTCAGCTACCCCCTCATCACCCCTCTCCCACGGCCCCACCACTGCTCTGACCTCCACTTCCACCCCACCCTACATTCCTCATACTGAAGCCCCCCCAACACTCCGCACCTTTGACCTTACTACCATCGAGGAAGTCTCCAAGATCCTCTCTGATGCCCGCCTCACCACCTGCCCCCTTGACCGTATCCCCTCACAACTCCTACAACCTCCCTCCCCCTCCATCCTATGCTCCCTCACCCACATCTTTAATCTCTCCCTCTCCTCTGGCACTTTCCCCTGCCCTCTGAAACATGCACACATCACCCCCATACTTAAAAAGCCCTCCCTGGACCCCAATGACCCAAACAACCTCAGACCCATCTCCCTGCTCCCATTTACATCCAAACTCCTCAAGCGCCTAGTCTACACCCGCCTAAGCTCCCACCTGAATGACAACAACTTCCTCGATCCCCTACAGTCCGGCTTCCGTCCCCTACACTCCACCTAAACTGCCTTACTTAAACACTCCAACGACCTGCTAACCGCCAAAGCTAATGGCCAATACTCCGTGCTCCTACTCCTTGACCTCTCTGCGGCCTTCGACACAGTCAACCACCCCCCCCTCCTCCTCAGAAAACTACACTCCCTTAGCCTCAGAGATTCTGCTCTCTCCTGGCTCTCATCCTACCTGTCACAATGCTCTTTCAGCGTTACCTATAATGCTACCACCTCCCCCTCACTCCCCCTCTCTATTGGGGTCCCTCCAGGCTCCGTCCTCGGGCCCCTTCTCTTCTCTATCTACACTGGCCAACTCATACACTCTCACAGCTTCAACTACCACCTATATGCTGACGACACACAAATCTATCTCTCAACCCCCCCACCTCAGTCTCCGCCCGAATCACACACCTACTGAGCGACATATCAGACTGGATGTCGCTCCACTTCCTTAAACTGAACCTCTCCAAAACCGAGTTTCTTGTCTACCCCCCAGCCCGGACACCACCCCCCATTGACTTCTCCATCACATCCAACAACGCCACCATCAAACCCGCCCCGCAGGCCAGAGTACTTGGTGTCATTCTGGACTCCAACCTATCCTTCCAGCCCCAAGTCCAATCTTTAACAAACTCATGCAGAGTCCACCTCCGCAACATCGCCAAAATACGCGCGTTCCTATCCCCAGAAACCACTAAACAGCTCATCCACTCCCTCATCATATCACGACTCGACTACTGCAGCTCCCTCCTTACTGGCCTGCCTCGCCGCTTGCTATCCCCGCTTCAGTCGATCCTGAATACGGCTGCCAGACTCATTCACCTTTCCATGCGCTCCGTTTCCGCCACCCCCCTCTGCCAATCCCTCCACTGGCTTCCGATTGCGCAACGGATCAAATTCAAAATCCTAACACTGACGTACAAAGCCGTCCACCATACTGCCCCGAACTACATCACTGACCTAATATCCAAGTACCACCCAGCACGCACACTCCGCTCCTCACAAGACCTCCTTCTCTCTAGTTCCCTGGTTTCCTCCTCCCATGCCCGCCTCCAGGACTTCTCCAGGGTGTCACCCATCCTCTGGAGCTCCCTGCCCCAACCCATCAGATTATCACCTACTCTCCTCTCCTTTAGGCACACCCTGAAAACCCACCTCTTCAGGGAAGCCTACCCCACCCCCTGCTAACTTGCCAACCTCCTCCACTCCCCTCCTATCACCCCATCCCCCACAGCTATCTCCTCCTGTGCCACCATCTCCTCCCTCCTAGATTGTAAGCTCGAAAGAGCAGGGCCCTCGATCCCCTCATGTTTTGCATTGTATTGGTATTGTTCTGTCACATGTTCTGTCCCCCTTTGTAATGTACAACGCTGAGCGAACTATTGGCGCTTTATAAATACTGTATAATAATAATAATAGTACCCTATCACTTGTATCAATGGGAGGAAAAGTGCCCCATCACTGGTATCAATGGGAGGAAACGTTCCCCATCCTTGGTACCAATGAGAGAAATGGTGCTCCATCATTGGTATCAATGGGGGAATAGTGCCCCATAATTGGTGTCAATGAGAGGAATAGTGCCCCATCATTCGTATCAATGGGAGAAATGGGGAGAAATGGTGCCCCATCATTCGTATCAATGAGAGGAAAAGTGCCCCATTGTTGGTATCAATGGGGGAATAGTGCCCCATCATTGTTATCAATAGGAGGAAAAGTGCCTCATTGTCGATGTCAGTGGGAGAAACTATGCCACACTGTTGCTTGTGGTGTGAGGAATAATGCCTCAAGCGCCGGATAAAAGCAAGCAAAGGGCCACATCTGGCCTGAGGGTTGCAGTTTGGATCCACTGCTTTTAAAGGATAATTTCACCTTTGGAACATGTTACATGTTCCAGCTCC